GCCCTTTCCCTCCCACAGACTTATCAGCTGGACACTGCTCTCTAAGCTGCTGGGCTGCATATTGGCTATCAAATTGGTATCAGCCGATATGGCTGGTTTTAGCCATTGGTATCGGCTAAAAAATCTTCAACAGTGCACCCCCAGTGAAGACTTAAACTTCTCTGACTCTATTCAGTTAAGCAACTATCAAATCATTCTTGGCTCTCACAGACAACAAAACAAGGAGAAACAGGCTAAGTCTAGGAATTTTCTTTCCTTTACATGTGCAGGGATTTTCTTGTCCTGCACATAGTATCCTCCAGGACATACCGAATCTCTTCAAACATTTATTTAAAAATCCAAGTTAGGCATATTTATGATTCAACAAGAGTAACTAGAAAAAAGTTAGTATTAATACAAGACAGGTGTGGGATAGAGAGGTATCCCAATAATTTAAGAGGCTAACTAGGGGCCATGCTGTTTTTGACTTGCTGCTTAGAAACAGGGAAGAATTGGTGGGGAATGTAGAAAAGTGGAAGGTAACTCAGGGAGCAGCAACTACAAAATGAATGAGTTCAGGGGAAGGCAGGCAGGCAGAAGCGTAAGGACCCTGGACTACAGAAAAGCAGATAGACTCGCTCAGGGAAACGATGGACAGGATCCCCTGGGAGGCTGTTCTTAGTGGTGGCAAACAGAACAGGGAGCAATGATCTCAAATTGCAGCAAGGAAAGTTAGGTTAAATATTAGGAAAAAAACCTGTCTCACATGGAAGATAGTAAAGCATTGGAACAGGTTACCCCAAAACCCCAAATCATATACTAAAGAGAGTCAGCCTTTTTTAAAGAAACATCTCTGAAGCTAAGTCTCCAAAGACAAAGCACTGGCTTTTAGCATACGACGTGCCAAGAGCAACTATCATTGCAAGTTGCTACAACCGTCTCTCTTCCATCAAAAAGAGAACAAGCAGGACTAACAGGGACCCAGTTACATACTTTATATTTGTTTTTAACCTTCTGTTAACATTACGCCCAACGTACGCTAGCTTTTTATAATATAAAACAAACATTTTCAAGTAAATGAAGTCACTGAGATGACATAACCCCTTAATATCATAAATAGGCTGATAAACACATCCATTAACTATGCTGGGTATATAAAGAGGAACTATGGCATTAAACATCTGCAGAATGATTAACTGGAAACACTATCTTAATGATGCTTAGAATCATCCATTTTAACAGGATCATTACAAATAGAAAAAGTTAAGAAGCAATGAGCTAGGGAGACTCCAATTATACAGATGCAAGATACTAATCCTACGCAAGTTAACAGGACAAATTATGTTTAAAACAAGAAACACTTAAATTCATAGGCTCCTTTGGGTCAAGCAGACTTCTTATAACATGTACACACAATAATCAAAAGTTTCAACCAAGAACACAACAGCAAATTCAAAGAGATTACTTTTTGAAAAATTTACCTCAGATTGTACGTGCTGGATCACAACAGTTAGTGCTTCAAACTTCCGGTTACTGCAGGCCAGGAGTTTCTTCAGTTGCAGGATAATTCCACTTTGGTTCTCACATTTTGCTTTGTATTGTCCCAACTCATGTGTTTTTATTTCATATGAATGCGCATCTGGAGAGGTTTGGGTTTGTATGCACGAACTTTTAGGAGTCCTCTGCTTGCCCTTGTCAACTGGAAGTGAAAGATATATGCATACAATTAATATTTATTCAGTGCTGAATAAAGAAAGAAAGAAGAGAGTAGAAAAAAATTAAGAATATTTTCTTACGTCATTCTAATTGGGTTCAAATATTTATTTTAATAGTATTATAGTCTTGTGGGTTAGAAATTGTACTTGGTGCAGCATTCTAGTACAATTTCCAAAGACAATTAAATTTGTCAGCTTAAATTCATTATTCTGAGTTTACAGTTTTTCATTACGCAGCATTTTAGAAAGCTGCTCATACCACTGTTTGAATCTGATCTTGAGAGAACCTAAATGTTTCTTTGACAACAAGTTTCTTGCAACATGAAAGTTTGCCTAATTTTCATATACTATGTGCCCATCCATTCTTTTTAGGTTTGCAAAAGGGTTTTACATTTACTAAATGTTAATGAAGCTAGCAAATTGTAATTTATATTTAATCCATTGCTTTCTTGATTTTCCACTATGAGAGTTCCACAATTATAAGTCTGTATTTGGGCTTTATCAGCCAAATATTGAAGAATGTCTCTCAGCACCACTAGCTTTAGTCACAAATTAAGCACTTACTAAACCTATCAAAAATGTAAATACACTGCAAGCACTGCCCTCCCCCACCCATTATACATTGTTCGATGACTACCTAGTTTATTTTTACATTCTTTGGTTATGTTGCAACCTCAAACACATAGAAGCACTTCTCAGACATGCAATGTCAGAAAACAGAATCAATTTACTTATTAGTACTCAATTCTTAAAACTCCAAGTATGCTAGCTTTCTTTATACTGCAGCTAAAGAAAACAATGGTGCAAATAAAGCCAGACTCCTTTTGATCACAGGGTGTGAGCAAATCCTGTAGCCACCAAAACCTGACGCAAGATACAAAAACAACAAGGTAGTTTAATGAGAGATCAAGGTGAAGATTTCAGCATCTGACTTAACAAGATTCCTTCACAACAAAAGTTGAAAAACAACATAAAGTTAAGTACTTTTTGAAACCATAATAGCAATGCTTAGTAGAAGGAAAATAGCATTACTTCCAAAAAGACCAAAATTAGTAAATAAAAATCAACATGTTGTTAATTCTTTCAAAAGCCTTTCAATTAAGTGAGGGGAGACACTGGGATGCATCTGGTACATCGATCTTTTCCTATACCAACACTTCTTCTTTCAGTAATAACCAAGAACTAGTATGTTGCCAATATCAGTACTTCAGCCACTGCATTAATCAAATTTCAGTGGCTTAGCAGTTTCTCAAATGTTTGAGAATAGAATCCTAATGCAGGAAAAATAGCTCATTTGTCTGGTGAGATCCAACTCATTCTACCATATACATCTTCCAAACATGCAACCCACCCTAAAAGGGCTTTTGGCTCCTATTTCAACTTTCACTTCAGGAAATGCTAATGTGTTTTGATGCTTTTCTTGGTTACTTCACTGCACATGAAAACATGCAAGAATGCTGTGACCATTAGAGGAATATTTACACTGTAAAAAAGAAGCAGTCTCTGATTTGGGTGAAAACAGTAGCCAAGGCAAAAGAAAGACTGCTGCTGAACTTGAGCTGCTAATTTTAAATTAAAAGCATCAAATTGCCTTATTGAGTTAAAATTACTCTATGAACAAGTTAGTCACGTTTTCTTCTTTTAAAGTGAAAATACTCACTTTGAATTAACGCTATAATTCAACTGAGCAGTGCACACTTCCAAGAAATTGTTTCAGGTTCTCAGTAAACTCAGGCACCCTACATATTGTTCAGATCATATCAGAAGCTTCTTTACAGGCATAATAAAACAATGTGCATTAAAAAAAAATTAAAATAGACAAGAACAATTTGAAAAAAGTCTTTTCCTAGCTATGGTGAGATGCATCTGGAGATAAAAATCACAAGCCCTGTTGTGCCTGTTTATGACCTTCATTCCTCACTCACATTTAAACAAAAGCATTAAAATGAAGAGCCAAATAAGTAAAAGCCACGCGTATCATAGCTCCTGTTGAGAAAAGTCTACAGTAATAACATCAAAAGTTGAAAAGGGCTTTAGGTACCAAAATATGGATCAAAATCTTCCCACCTAGCCTATCTTGACATCTGTGCTGCTCTTAGATGAGCAAAAACCCCCAAATCTTTTCCCTTTAATGATGTCCAAGAAACCCTTTTCCTGTGTGCCTTATGCAACACATCCTTATAAAATACCCTCCAGTCCATTTATAATTCCATATATATACTGCCATTGAATTCAATTTCTAAAGAACACACACACCAGACCATTCTAAGTGCAGCAGGCCAAGTAATCAGATTACTTCCCCAAACTATATGTTGCAAGATGAGCTTTGTGCCATACACAAAAAAACATACTTTTTTTTATTAAACTATACCACTCTGGTGACTGCATCTTGATAGGAGCTCTGAACACCTGTATCTTGAACAAAAGTATAATTTCATGAGCTTGCAGCTGACCCTCAGTCAAGAACTTTGCCCTGGACTCAGAGATCTGCCTTATGCTCCTTTAATACAACAACCCCAGCTGAAGGCTGAACACAAGTCTGAATCCCAGATCATTCCTTTGTAAAGAAGTTTCAAGTGAGGACTCGAAGCTTGACCAATCTGATGCGTCCTATAGGAGAAAGGGGGAACACCACCACCCAATACTACCAGTTATTATTATTATGAGCTATTTTTCTATAAGGATGCATTTCAACTACTAGCTACATTTAAATATACAGAAAGGTCACTGAGAGGAGCATTAGAATTAGTTACATTTGTGCGCAGATCCAGATGGGGTGCAAATAGCCAGGTACTTTAAGTCCCTGAAGCAAGTAAGAACTTTTCCCTCTGCCCTCAGCAGTACTTCCCCAGCTGTCAGATTGCCCCTTTTCTTGTCTGCTGCTGTCACTGTCCCTGGCTGACACAGGTGTTGAGGTTGCTCCAGAGCTGCTTCGTGCTACTCTAACCAGGTTGCACAGAAAGCCAGGCTCAGTCAGGAACAGAGACAGTGGCAGACAGGTTTCCCCTCCCTGCCCTGTCCATAGCTACCTCCTCCTTCCCCAGGTGTTCCCTACCAGCTTGACAGCAGATGCAGTGAAAAGAACATATCTGCCACTACTATTGTCCTCCTGCACAGCCATTCCCTGAAACCCTGGATGAATACGAGTAGCAATGGCCAGGACAACAGCGCTGGCAGGCAGGTCTCCCCTTTCTCCACCTAGAGGCACCAAATAGAGAGGGGAGGGAAAGTACTGCTAAGCACACAGAAAAGGGAAGGGGAGCCAAGAGCAGGCAGCAAGATACTTACCTGGTTTCAGAGACTTAAAAAAAACAAGTTCCCTGCTCCTGCTGCCACAGCATGATCTACCCACCCCACTGGGAGCAGAAGGTATAGCCTTCCCTATAGTACCGGTCTTCTTTTCAAAAATCCTAGATCTGCCTATACTTACGTTCCTTGTCAAGTTTTACTAAACCGCATCTGAATAGGTTGGACTATGCTGCTCTAATGAAACACCACCTGAGCTTCTATACTACTGTTCTGAGCTCAGTTACTGGCTATCAATTGAAATTCTGCCCAGTAGGTAACTACACTTAACTGCCCAAGCTTTAACCAACTAAGAACTCCTACCATCCTAACTTGGAAGTGTAGAGCTAGACTAGAACCCCTCCGAGTTGCCCATGTGACCTCATTAGTGTATAGTAATGACATTAAAAATTGCTTTTGTTAAGCAAAGATGGCAAAGTTGTAATTTCTAAAAACATACTCCAGACAGGCTAAAACTAATTGAAGAAACCGTCTAACCTTCCCTTTCCAAATTTTGGGTAGCTTTAAGTTATAAGTCTTACCCCAAGTTGCCTGCTGTTCATATTCCTCAACCAAACCATTAACTTCCAGAGCTGTCTGAAGGCTTCTAACTTTAGTGTCCAAACATTTTTCAACATCCTTAAGTCCTTGCTCAGGATCCTCTTGGTTAGCAAATTCAAGGATGTTTAAAGTCTTCTGACTCTTCTCCATTTTCTGGAAAAAATGATCTACACTTGTCGAGTTAGTGTCATTGATTGAAGAAGTGAGCACCAAGTCAGCCTGGGCACTTAACCGAAATTCTATTTCTTTCCTCTCTCTCTGGATCTCCTCAAGCATAGTTTTTATTTCCAACTGACTGGATTTAATCCTTGCTTTCAGATCCTCTTCCATTTGTGGCTGGCTCTGTATTGGTTCCTCTTCCATCTGTGCAACTGTATTGGTTTTAATTTCCTTTTGAGGTATTTCCATGCCTTTTAAAATTCTTTTTGGCTAGTTTTCACTGCTTCTTGGTTAACTTGAATTTCTGCTAACATAGCTGCTAGACTTTCCATCTCCACTTAAGAAACAACCACAGACCTCTTCTTGTTGGTATTAATCCTCAGTGGCAACAGCCATCACTGCCTCCAAGCAGCCAGGAACATTTTCACTTGAATGGGAAAGGTAGTCTCCAGTATAGTACCCTACTTAAGTTTACAGTCAGTACACTTGAATGTAGATACTAAATAAAGGACGAGCACATATTACTGTACAGAGCCTTCATAAATGGCTCAAACCCACAATTCAGCTGGAGTATTAGTCAGTCTAACAAGCTGCTCAATTTTGCCACACCCAAACCTATTAAATCCTTTGCCAACATCCCACATAAAATAGCATGTCACCTGAAGTTATTCCCATGTGTCGGTCAAAAGAATGTACAGCCATTGGTGTTGGCAGGAATTTTGCTTTTTTTGCAATACAAGATGCAGTCCACTGATCCTGAATAACCCTCCCTCCAACAAAAGGGCTTAAAATGAACATTATGCTGCCTACAAGGCTTTGATATCATCCCCCCCCCCCAACTTACCTAATGACCCCAATCCCATGGTAAATTAACTGGCTCTGCAGGCACTCTTTCTAGTGATGCAGATACTAATGAATAAATCCCTGAGTGCACTTGCAATACACACCATAGTTATAACCAGAACTGCCTTCAAGAACA